TAACAACAGATTAGACACCAGAGACAACAAAGCAATAGAAACTATCTAAACTGAAGCAGAGGGGGGTGAAAAAGCTGAAAAAGATAATGAACAGAACCTCAGTGATTTAATGTACAATAACAAGTGGCGTAACATATATGCAACTGAGGGGCATGGGGCAGTAATTCTGAAAAAATATAAAATGAATGATAATGTTCCAGATTTGACAAATTCTAGAACCCCACAAATCCAAGAAGCTCAAAGAACACTAACTAACAAGAATAAGCCTACAGAAAACTACCACAAGGAATATCACAATCAAATTAAATTTGATTTAGTGAAAGATAAAGTGAAAATCTTAAAAGCAGCCAGAAAAAAAGGACACATTACTAGAGAGGAACAAAGATAAGAATATTCAGACATTTATTAAAAGAAATAATGCAGGCCAGAAGACAACGGAAAGACATCTTTAAAGTATTGAAAGGAAAAACAAAAACAAAACAAGAGTATCAATCTAGAATTCTATATCCAGCAAAAATATCCTCAGAAAATGAAGGTAAAATGCTTATGGGGACAAACAAAAGCTGAATAAATTCAAGGCTAAATCCCCTGGCAATTTTGGGCACTGCAAATATCTTCCCTAATTCTTTCATCTGTCTGTCACTGAATGAAAACCTTTAATTTTTATATAATCAAAGTCATTACTTTTTCACCTTTGTAAGTTTTAGGAGATAAAACTTTCCCTAGGGAAAGAGCTTCTTCAACATTGTCTTCCATTAATTTTATAACTTTTCTTTCACATTTAGATCTTTAATTATCCATAGTTCATCCCATCTGTGGTGGTAGGTTTTTCTCCATAAAGTAAGCCACTCTTCCTAGCAGCATGGCTCCTTTCTCTGATGATTTATGATACCACCTTTATCTTAAGTTCCTGAACATATAGGTAAGTCTCTGCTCTCCAGTTTGTTCCCCCGGTGTATTTTTTAGGTTCCTGCACTTATACTAGTTTTTATTACTATAGTTTTGAAACAGTATCTTAACCTCTGGTAAGGCAAGCCCCCAAGAAAGCAAATCTTTAAGACTGATTTAGCTATTCACAGACTTTATCCCACCTGCCATATAAATTTTAGATCAGGTTATTGAGTCTGTCAGACAAACCAACTGGAATTTTGATGGCAGTTTAATCAAATTTATAGATTAAAATGGAGAAAACTGACTTCCTCACAACAATAAGTAATCTAATCCCAAGAGCATGGAAAGTTTTCCCATTTATTTAGGTCCTCTTCTAGTTCCTTATTAAAGTTCTCTCCTTAAAGATCTTATGTACTTAGGGTAATTCCTAGAGACTATAGTTTTCTTGCTATTATTGTATACAATATTTACTTTTTTAAAAAAATTTGTTTTACTTATTTACTTTTGGCTGTGTTGGGTCTTTGTTGCAGCGTGCGGGCTTTCTCTAGTTGCGGGGAGTGGGGGCTACTCTTGCGGTGCGCAGGCTTCTCATTGCGGTGGCTTCTCTTGTTGTGGAGCACAGGCTATAGGCGTGCGGGTGTCAGTAGCTGCAGCGCGTGGGCTCAGTAGTTGTGGCTTGCGGGCTCTAGAGCGCAGAACCAGTAGTTGTGGTGCACGGGCTTAGATGCTCCACAGCATGTGGGATCTTCCCAGACCAGGGCTTGAACCCGTGTCCCCTGCACTGGCAGGCGGATTCTTAACCACTATACCATCAGGGAAGCCCTACAATATTTACTTTTGATTACCTTTACTAATTGGTTATTGCTAGTGTAGTAAATGCTACTAACTTTTGTAGGGTGCTCTTAAGTCCAGTAACCTTGCTAAACTCTTTTTTTTTTTTTTTTTTTTTTGCAGTACGCGGGCCTCTCACTGCTGTGGCCTCTCCCGTTGCGGAGCACAGGCTCCGGACGCGCAGGCTCAGCGGCCATGGCTCACGGGCCCAGCCGCTCCACGGCACATGGGATCTTCCCAGACCAGGGCACGAACCCGTGTCCCCTGCATCGGCAGGCGGACTCTCAACCACTGCGCCACCAGGGAAGCCCCTTGCTAAACTCTTACTAGTTCTAATAGCTTCTCTTGATTCTAATGGTTCTTCTAGATAAGTGATATTATCTGCAGATAATGAGTTTTATTGCTTCCCTTCTTATACTTATACTTTTAATTTTTTCCCCCTGTAGTGTTCGTCAGAACCTTTCTTATCATGTTAAACAGTAACAGTGACAGAGGGCATCCTTATCTTGTTACTGATCTTTTTATTTATTTTTTTGCTGTGCCACATGCAGGATTAGTTCCCCAACCAGGGTTTGAACCCATGCCCACTGCAGTGGAAGCGCTTAGTCTTAACCACTGGACCACCAGGGAAGTCCCTTGTTACTGATCTTAAAGTAAATGTATCTGAAATTTCTCCGTTAAGTATTATTATTTGCTGTAGGTTTTTGGTAATGACCATCATTTAGTTATCCTGCGTTCCAAGCTTGCCAAGAGTTTTTATCATATATGGGTGGCTGCATCTTATCAAATAATTTTATGGTATCGAAATAATGATGACTTCTCTCCCTTTAGTCTATTTTTTTAAACTTTTTAATGGGAATTTTCAAGTACATATACAAAAGTAGACAGAATGATGAACCCATATACTCTCCTTTAGTCTACTAATAAGATAAATTACATTAACAGATAAATGGACGTTGAACCACACTTACATACCTAAAACAAACTCTATGGATCAAGATTCTTTTAACACATTGTTGGGTTTGAAGAGCTAGTATTTTGTGTAGGATTTTTACATTTATGCTAATAACTGAAAACAGACGTATAACTTTTTCATATCAACTTTACCTAGTTTTCGAATCAAGATTTCACTAACTTCATAAAATGAGCTTGGCATCTCTCTCTCTCTCTCTTTTTCCTATTTCCCAGAACAACTTTTAAAAAGGAATTGTTATTTAAAAGCTCATTGCACCTCAATTATAAGATTATCTTCATCCAGAGTTTTTGAAAGGAGACGTTTTACTGTTTCAGTTTTTAGATATTTATTAGTCAGCTCGGGCCTCCCTGGTGGCACAGTGTCTAAGAATCCGCCTGCCAATGCAGGGGGCACGGTTCGAACGCTGGTCCGGGAAGATCCCACATGCTGTGGAGCAACTAAGCCCATGCGCCACAACAACTGAGCCTGAGCTCTAGAGCCCGCAAGCCACAACTACTGAGCCCGTGTGCCACAAGTACTGAAGCCTGCGCGCCTAGAGCCTGTGCTCCGCAACAAGAGAACCCACGGCAATGAGAAGCCCGCGCACCGCAACGAAGAGTAGCCCCCGCTCGCCGCAAACAGAGAAAAGCCCACACGCAGCAACAAAGACCCAACGCAGCCAAAAGTAAAAATAAATAAAATAAATTAAAAAAATATTTATTAGCTCAAGCTATCTACTTCTTCTGTTACCAACTTTCATAGTTTGTAGTTTACTAAGAATTTACACATTTCCTCTAGGCTTTCAAATTTATAAACCCATAGCAATTCATAAAACTCTTCTTTTAAACACCTCATGTTTGTACCTATTTCCCAGTTATCACTTATTGTATTTGCATTTAAAAAATCGGAGGTCCGTTTAGCTTATTAATTTCAAAAAACAATCTTTTGGTTTGGCAAATCTTTCTTTTGTTCCTAATTTCACTAATTTTTGCTCTTAACTGTATGCTGTTCTTTGAACTCTTAAAATGAACTTGGTTGAAACACTAAAGCAAGCTTCCTTCAGCATTTAGATAAGTCACCCTGCCACTGTGTCCCAGGTCTGGTTTCACTACATAGACTTCAAAACACAAACTATACAATATAAACATTATTTTCATGTACACATAATACGGAAAAAATCGTAGACAAATCTTACCAACCATACCTACATATGAACGTCTCTGACTAAAGCAGTATCTTGAAGGCAAATAAATAAGGTTATGTGCTTGTTCCAAAAAAAACAAAAAAAAAGTAAGGCTATGACTATACATCTGAACCAAGGCAGATATTTTCTCTGCACAGCTAACTGGACAATTACTGGTACAGCTTGATAAAATTAGCAACTAGAAATGAAATCTCCAGTTCTTTACCAGATGCCATTCAAAACTTGCAGTTATTAATAGGAGAGAAAAATCTCGCTGTGACGGCCAATTTCCACCATCACCAGCCCCCAAAAATACCACTTAAAGCAAACGCACTTTTCTTCCTAGCTGTGGAAGCATACATCCTTGGTTGGAGATAGTTTCGGTTACAAAACAGATTTTGGTCTTAAATCTTTCTGCCGGCAGTTGAGCGTTAGGGCAGATCACTAACATAAAAGTTCAACATTGAACACAATCTTAGATTTGGACACATACCGAATGGCTTATTCTTATGAGTGTAGACTTTGAAAAAGTAACTTTATACATTATTAGCTTCAAAACGGATGTCGCAGCTCCCACTGCGCTGCTGTTACTCAAGAAGCAACTCATACATTTCCCTATCGGGATGCAGAAGGCGTGCACTGAAGAAGGCAAAGAACGAAGCGTAGATATAGGTCAACTTTCTAATTCCTGACTTGTTTAACGTTCTGGCTAAAAGCACAGAAACACAAGTGGCCAGATTTCTTTTTCCCCTGGTTGCAAAAAACAAACTGAAGGCCTCTCCCTAACGAAACTCGGACAGCCTTATTTTCCCTTTCACGTTTGAGGGTGAAACTTAAGGGGGAACGGAGAAGAAAAGAGCTTCCTGATCCTGAGAGATAGCCAGTCGTGATACGGCTCGCGTCTGTAGGAGAACTTGGGGCTGTGTGCGTAACCAGGCTGCTCTTTTAGGCCAGGTAATACAAGAAGCCAGGGCCGCTCCGGCGCCGGCCGCGGACACCAAACGAGTGGGGGGAGGGAGGCGGGGAGGGGAGGAGAGACCCAGGCCTGAAACAAAGGAAGCGGGATGGCCGAGAGGGAAGGATTCGGCGTCCGGGTGGGAAGGAGAAAAGCCGAGGCTGCAGACGAAAGGCTGTACTCACAGAACTTGGAGGTGGAGGTGTTGATGTTGATGCTGGAGGTGGGGGTGGCGGCGGGGGCCGCCTTGGCCACGGCGGCAGCCGCGTCGCAGCTCTTCAACATCATGATCACCCCATTCGGCTCCGGCGGTGGGCCCATCGGGAGCCCCTCCTTGGGGCCTTTCCTGTCCACGGAGACCGCAGGCATCGCCAGCAGCTGACCCCCCGGAGGCTCTCGGGCAGGGGCTGGGAGCGAAGAGGGGGGCGGAGGGGGTCGGGGGGGCTGCCGGAAGCCGTCCACGGCGGCCTCCCAGTTGTTGTGGTTCTGGTCGTCCATCATCGCCTCGTAGCTGCCCCCCTCCTCCTCTTCCATGCTTTCCTCCATCCTGCAGGCCCCCAGCACCCGCCCGCCTCACAGGCACCTGCCGCCCGTCTCAACCCCAGGCCGGGGGGCACTGCAGCCTCCTCGAGCTCACATCGCCGAGGGCCGGAACGGGCGCGGCGGGGAGGGCAGCGGCGCGCCGGGCCTCTCAATCTCGCCCGGCCGACTCGTAGAGACAGGGCTGACGGCGGTGGGCGCTCCAGGGCTCCACTTAGGGAGAGGCAGCCGTAAAGCAGCAGCGCCCCTCACGACATTTTACAGCAGCTTCCAACAGGCAGCTGGAAAGGGCAGCTGGGGGAGCGGCCAGGAGGGCACGTGGTGCGAGGAACCAGCCGCAAGAAAGCTAAACGAAAAGGGGCGGGAGCTGTGAGCCCCCCCAACGCAGTACAGCAGAGGTTCGCCCCGCTTCGCCTGCTCCCATGCGGAGAGGAACTGGGCAACCAGTCCGGAGGAGCATTCGTCGGCTCCGCCCCCGGCCCGGCCTCACGTGATAAAGGAGTTTGGCTGCGCACGCGCGTTCAGAGTTTGGTTACCAGGACTACGGGGAGTTGAGCGTGCGACTGAAGACGCGCTTAAAGCCTGGCCCTCGGTCGGTGTGCCCCAGGCTCACCGTCTCACCGGTGTTTTTCTCCCGCTCGCCCAATTTACAGGGTTTCGCACTGCAGAGGGCCTTGCAGCCCCAGCTTTTGCTTGACCATGGAGCTAGGGGGCCAGTAGAAGCTCCGCTTCGCCGTTATCAACGGGTGGGAGTGCCCAGGGCGGCCCTTGGCAGGATTGCTCTTGAGCCTCAGCCCACACGACCCAAACCCTCAAAATCGAGGAAAACAACCGAGACAGCAGAGTGGCTTAAAAAATAAATGTGTTTGAGCTATTCAAGAACTTTTTAAAAGTTCCTTAACTCCTCCGTACACTGAGGCCAGAAATTTTAAACTTAAAAATGCCACTCCGTATGCTGTTTCACAAATCTAACTACAAATTTGAGATATATGAGAGTCTTGAGGGACAAGGAAGAAAGATTATGTAACTCTATTATAATTTATTTGATTCCTCTGCAATAGCAGTGTATTTTATATATATATATATATATATATGTACATATATATAATTTTATGCGGTACGCGGGCCTCTCATTGTTGTGGCCTCTCCCGTTGCGGAGCACAGGCTCCAGACGCGCAGGCTCAGTAGTTGTGGCTCACGGGCCTAGCTGCTCCGCGGCATGTGGGATCTTCCCAGACCGGGGCACGGACCCGTGTCCCCTGCATCGGCAGGCGGACTCTCAACCACTGCGCCACCAGGGAAGCCCTGCAATAGCAGTATATTATACGAGAATAATGAATCTTTATTTCTACAGATATGCAATTAGTGTGAAGTGAAGAATCACTTCAGTCACTGAGAAATTGTCTCTGATATACTTCAGTGTCCACATTTGTTTCATCTTCTCTACACATATTTTCCCAATATATTCTGCACTAAATGAAATGTTTTGACCAATCACTTAGAATGATTTAATTTTAGACGATGCTCCCTCATATTAATTAATGGCATATATTTTTTGAATCAGCACACGGTTTTGATTCTCTGGGCCTGGAACCGTACTAATTTTCTGGCCCTGGGACATTTTGGGAATATGAAAATAAATTTTTTTCAAGTAGAAGACGCCTGAGTGAAATGCTGAGGAGGAAAAAAAGGTAACCTTAGAAGTCTGTGCCCTGCAAGTAAAGAATGTAAGAGGAAAGACAAATTATAGTCTTTTTCAGACAAACAACCGCTGATAGTTTGTCATCAATAGACTTCTGAGGTGGGTGGGTGGGTGTGACTAGATAACCCTCAATACACAAGATATGAGTCACAACTGTGTCTCTAAAAATATGGTCACAAAATATATGAGGCAAAAGTTGACGGAAGTAGATGAAGAAAGAGAAATTATCATCAGAGTAAGTGATTTTTTACATATCTCTCTATCAGATTGCAGTGGGTTGAATAGTAGCTCCCCAAAAAGATATCTCCAGTGTCTTAATGCCTGGAACCTACGTGTTACTTTATTTGAAAATAAGGTCTTTGTAGATGTAATTGAAGATCTTGCAATGGATTATCCAGGCAGAACATAAAACCAGTGGCAAGTGTCCTCTTTAGAGAAAGGAGGAGGTGATCTGAGACAGAAACAGAGGAGAAGGCAGCGTGACCACGGAGGCAGAGGTTGGAGTGATGCAGCCACACTCCTACACCACATGCCTACAGCCACCCAAAGCCAGAGGAGGCAAAGAAGGAATTCTCCCCTAGAGCCTTCAGAGGGAAGGCAGCCCCGCCAGTGCCTTGATTTCAGACTTGTAGTTTCTGGAACTGGGAGAGAATACCTTTCTGTTGTTTAAAGCCACCCATTTGTGCTAATTTGTTAACAGCAGCCACAGGAAACTAACACACAGACCAAAGGGACCAGAAAATCTTTAAGGGACTAGAGGATTTGAACAACGCAATTACCAAGCTTGATTTAATGAATACATATAGAATATCGCACTCAGCAACTGCAGAATATACTTTCCTTTCAAGAATATGTGAAACATTACAAAAATTGAACATACTGGGTCATAAAGCAAGTTTCTCAACATGTCTAAGGACTGGTATCATAGCAACCACATTCTCTTCCCACTGTGTAGTTAAGTTAGAAATCAATAACCAACAGACAGCTAGTAAACCCCCATATTTCTAGTCTTCCAGTCAACATATGGGTCAGAAAATCATGATGGAAACTAGAAGACATTTAGAACTGAAGGGATTGGTACTATCACAGCAATATAACTTCCATCTGGTAAAGCCCTACTCCAGGGGGTTTTACCCAGCATACTGGTGAACACTGAACCCTTTACATGTATACTGCCAAAATAATCAATATAAGACATTTATTTAAACTGTAATTGGTTAAACACACCATTATAAAAAAAATCTATATTTAGCAGAATACATATATATGTAAAATATATATGTAAGTTTGTTTATGTAAAGAGAAGACTAATTCAAAACATCAGTAGCATTTATCTAGGGCTAATAGGCTTATAGATGGTTTTTATCCTCTTAGTATCTTTCGATCTTTTCTATATTCTCTACAGTGAGTCCGTATTATTTTTATAATCAGAAAAACATTCTTAACCTTAAAGTTTAAAAAATAAAAACAATATTAAGAATGTATAAATTGGGATTCTGTACATGAAAATATTTATTTTGGCTTCCAGAAACAGAAATCTCAAGTAAAAAATTGCTTAAAAGTCAAGGCTATTCCTTGGCTAACATACTGATAAGGTCTAGGAAGGGCAAAGGTGAGGCGTGGTTCAGTCAGGTCTCCAGCTCTGTTGTCTGCCTTGTTATTTGACCTGATCTCCTCTTTTGCAAGCTTCATCCTTAGGCTGCCAACATATTTGGACAACAATGTCCAGAAGAAGAGGACCCATGACTTCTGGTAGACATCTATTGTGAGCAAGCAAATTCTTTCACAGAAGTCCTCAGCATACTTCTTTTCCAACGTTTCATTGACCCATTCCTGAACCAATCTACATGGCATTTACGCCTGAATTCCAGAGCCATTTACTGGAAAGGGTATGGATTTATTCCTGGAAAATGAGGCCCACCCCTGGTACTCAGAGCGGGACGCAAGAATAAAATCTGGGGTCAAGTAGGGAGGTTGAAATGGGTGCAATGCCCATTATAGGCCCAAGTAGCTAAGCCCCAAAGCCTATCCATTACATTACCTCATCCCAACCACTCGACTCCCTCCCCCTCATAAATATCTCCCTAATAAATATATGTATCAAAATTGTGTATGTGCTGATTAGAATCAAGAAAGACAATTACAAAATAAATATGTAGCTAATTATCTAAAATAGTTAAAATGGGGGTGGAGGTTGTGGCACAGAGATTTTGTCACTAAGAATTAGTCTTCGTTTATTATGGCTTTAAATACCTTTATGTCACCTTTCCCACAGAATATTTCATTACAGTTGTTCAACATTTTTGAATGAATAAATGCATGACTACCTTAAATCTGCTTGAAATCTTATTTTATATCAATAGTCCTTTTTTCTTTAGTCAACTCTTAAAACATCATCTGATGAGAGATACATTTTTCCTAAGAGAAAGCAAACTTATTACTGCCATTTTTACATCTTTTCATCCTAATTCTTGCATTGTTAGAAAGAAATGAAATTGCTCAGAGGTGAGCAGGAAGAGGAAAGAAGAGATGAGAAATTATATGAAAAAATCCACAGACCATACTTGCTTCCTCTAAGTGGTCAAGTCTGAACTCATTGAATCAGACAAGCTGTGGTAGACAACATACAGACCTATAGATGATTTAATTTTAATTATTTTAATTTCTATTTCATTTTAAATTTACTATTAATTTCATGAAGGCATTAACACAGAAAAATTTAAAACACAACTTTGATGGAGACAGATAAACTATATTAGGATAAAGAAGAATGAATACTTTTTTTATAATCTCCCTGGGAGATTACAATACCGCATTTGACAAAGAAATGACTTGTGAATGCATAAGGCAATTGGAAGTCTAAAGGCAAAGCTATTGGAATGATCTCAGTTAGAAGGTAAGAGGATTAGCGATATGTAAATAACTCAAGCCTCGATAGCTGCACACTGAGATTACTGCTTACAGTGAAGATGTGTAGCCACTCGGGGGAGTATTCTCTATTCGATATTTCTTTCCATGTTGGATTTTGTTCCTTCCTTTTATATCTTAGCATCTGAATCCAAATTCCATGCTAGCGGGGGAACAAAGATAATGATGCAGATTCTTTCTGTAAACCTGATGAATCTAGGAGCTGAAGGAAAGGACATCAGGCTGAAGGAGGCTGTAGGATAAAAGCTTTCCCTCCCAGCACCCTGTTGCTAGCCTAGTCCTTTCACTCAGTCATTCACAAATATTTATGTGTTCAGGCACTGTGCTGGGGCTACAAGAGTAAACAGACAAAAAGGTTTTCTGCCCCTCATGGAGTTTCCAGTCCTCTGAAGTGTCCAGATTTAACAGTTAACCACAGGAACCAAAGCCTGACAAGCACAATAAAGGAAAATACTGATACCAGGTGCTATGAGAGGGCATAACAGAGAAAGTTATTTTACTTTGGGTGATCAAGGAGAATCGTCCTGAAAAAAGTGTACTTCTGCCAAGATAAAAGGATGGGTAGAAGTTAGTCAACAAGTTAGGGAGAGAACTTTCCAGGCAGAAAGCGTTTGACATCATCTAGGAACTGAAAGAAAGGTA